CCATATTAATCAAGACGATGTATTAATGCAAACAAGTCTACAAGATTTAAAACTGATAGAATGAATTGCATCTATGAAGGATGAAAGCCTTTTACATTAGTTAAATGTAGGATACAAATAATTCATCAAACTTCTTAATTTGTTTATGTAAGCGACCTATCTATTAAACTTTAGCATAATGAAAATCATAACTATCTAAAACAAGCTATATGACTATTGGCTAGAGGAACTAGAGTATATGAGAATGAGAATACTTTAAATGGTATTAGTATCTCAAAGAGTGAAAATAAGGATATACTCGATTTTGAGTTATTCTGAGAGTATATGGAACAGAGCTTTTAGCAATGGGCATAAGTGCATGTGAAATCCAAAATACTTATATAAGGCAAAGAAGCAATAAGAAAGAAGGAACAATCCAAGATGAAGATGCAAACCTTCATCTATCTTACCATGACTAAATTTAGTGCTTTGAGGATAGTCTCCTATTCTAATTGGTTATTATTCTAAAGGTTAAAAAATTTATATAAATGAAAAATTTTCTAAACTTGGTGAATAATCCTCTCTAATTATTCATTATATGTGCGAACTTTCTTGATTATGATGCATATTTGGGACTAATTTCATGATTAAGGATCTCTAGCTGTGCAAAAGTAAAAATTAGACCAATCATTCACTTTCTTCTTACTTTCCAAACCTTGTCTTAACTTTTAGAGATTTGAAATTTATGCACTTAATATTAGTTTACAAGTTATTTAGATTTCAAAGGTTTTTTTTTTAGCATCAAAGGTTTCCAAGTTATCTTTTGTGTTAGGTAACTTTCAATTTTTCATCCTTTTTAAGTGTTTTAGATAAAGAAGGAAGAAAAAAGTGTAAGAAGCTGGTGTTGATGAAAATTTTTGGTTATATTTGGAGTCAAATGCTTATTCTTCTCAAAATCAAAAAAAAAAAAAAAAGAAAAGAAAAGACCATAAGCAATCCTAAAGACTATTAGTACAAGTTAGTGAAAGTTAGAAACATTAAGTGATTTGCTGGTTACCAACATTAAATAACATAGCCTAAAAAAATTAAATAAAATAGTCCAAAGAATAAGGATTAGGTAGATTACAGACTCAGATTTCTAACAACAATATTTTACATCTTACTACTATACCTTAGATGAGGTGTTATAGATATGCCAAACTCCATAAAGGTCATTTGAAATAGCACTACAGTGTCTCATTATTTGAGCGTTGAGACTTATTCCTCACCATTTCTATCTTGGCCATCAGTTTTGGAGATTTATATATGACTAGCATTTAGAGTTTTTGTTAGGCTTATTAAATTTTAATTATGATAGTTTGTGCAAATTTATAAAAAATAAAAATTAGTGACACAAAAAATCTTTTTCATTTTAATCAACGTGAGTAAGTCTTTACTTTTTGAAGGCTGGAAATAACATTCTTGATTGAAATGGTGAAAGAATGAACTTAACATGAAATTTGGCATTTCTCTCTCTTCTTTACTAGCACTTAGACAGAAAAGTCTTCTTGAATTTTGTTCATCAATCTCTTGGGTTATTAAGCATTACAATCTCCCATTGGTTGATGCACCGTGTTCTTAATCATTGGTATTTTTTCCGTTGAAGAAATAGAAAATACTAAAACTGTATAATAAAATAGAAAGCACAAATTTCTACTGCTAGGAAAAGACAAGTAAGAAAAAATAAAGAAAAGAAACTGGTAGCCTGGTAGGAGCTACAAAGATGCTTCATTTCTTTGAATTGAGTCATATGATGTATTAGTTTCAAGATAATATGCCAATAGATGATTAGTTGTAATGGTGAATAACTAATTAGTCTAAAAGAGTTTTCAAAAAGTATACATTAATCAAATGGTTGAGGAAAATCTAGGAACTAGATCTGTGAACCACAAATATTGATGAGAAACTATTCACAACAAAAAATAAACCTACATGTACAAATAACATAACTTTGTCAAGGTACTTAAACATCAAGTAGAAAGGAGCAAAATAATTTTCCATTAGATTCTTAGCGCTGCGTATCACAGGAATGAAAATAAAAAAGAATTTGAGCTTTTTTTGTAAGTACAAACTAAGACTTGAAGCAAATATCAAAATGTGTATATTCCAAAATTAGAGGGAAATGCATTTCTAAAAGTCAAACTAAAAATATTTATGAATGCAAACAACATTTATTAATATAGCATCGTCACATACATTTATTGCTATAGTACTTTTTGATGTAATATATGTAAGGAAAATGGTAGTTAAAAAGATAAAAATATGATTTGCAAACATTTTTATGATGTAATTAAAATTTTATTTTCAAATAATTAGATATCCAAACAAACCCATAATGTGCATGATTCTTTCATCTTTATCAAGTTTATTATTATTTGAATGTGTTTCATCAACTAATTGTCAACATAAACTAAAGGAGAGAAGAAAAAGTATGAAGTTGAAACAAATAAGATAAAAAGAAGTTTACGCTTCCCACGCAACATTTGGAATCATATTATACTAAAAAAATGTTATAATTGATTCTCTCTCATATGGATAGTGAATCATTTATTAGGTTACTATTGTATTATATTCTCATTAAAAACAATATATTTCTTTAACTCATGTCATCCACGACTAAACTATACTCTAACAAAAAAGATAAACATTACAGAAGAATATAAACAATTCCAAAAGAAACTAAGATAGGAAATAATGAAAGAAAAATTTTTTAATAAACCATTAAGGAGTTTGCTTGATTGAAAAAGCAATTTAAGAAATTTATAAGTTTTGAATTTTTTAGCTTCCAATTGTATTACAAAATTGAAAAGTTGACGAGTTTTGCTCAACAATATGCACATGTAACGCATGTGCTTTTTTCTAGTACTGCTTAATCACATGTTTTTTACACAAATAATAATGTCAATTTATTAGTTTGACATTAATTTTTTACTATTGACAGTTAATTTTAAAGAAAAAATTAGCAATGATATTTTAACTCAAATTATGAGAGGGTTACAAATAGATTTTTAAATAATAAAAAATTATACGGCAAAGCACCAAATGATACGAGGGTAAAAAGGTAATGTGCTTAATCTTAAACAATGCTGCGTTCACCCAAAACATGATGACGTGGTCTTTTAACTTTGAGTGAATGGCTAAAATGGTCATTTAATTATTCAAAATAGCCCTCTTTAGTCATCAAACTTTTTTTTTGTTGCCGAAAAGGTTACTAAACTCACATAAACACACTAGAAGAGTCATTTCACCGATTTTTAGCGATGAATCATCCAGTTACAAGGCAATGTGGAGTGAAGGCATATTTTAAAGGGGCAAAAATATTCAACAAAATATGGCAAACCTGTCTCTTCTTGTCCTTCGATCTACAAGTTTATTGATTCCTTCTTTCATTGACAAGTTTAGAATATCTCCCAACACTTCTAGAAACAACTAAATCTTTGCCCAGAAATTTCTAGTTTCCGAATCAACTCTTGGAGAGGCGTTTCCGGTGATTTTCTACTATGGAGAGCGGGAAATCAACATTGGAGACATTCGTGTCCCACCAATGTTGGAAGTCAAGACATTCCAGAAGATCGGAAACTCTCCCAACCAAGGCTCCATTTATCTCGTCCACCACGGTTCCTGCTTGAGGAATGCCGGAAGACCCCCATCACAGGAAAAGTGAATTTCGCCTTGATCATTCGCCAGAAGGACTGCTTCTTTCTTGTCATCTTGTAGAGGTCAAGAAAGTCTAGGAACAGGAAGTTGAGGCCAACGGCGTTGATTTTTGAGAAGGGTCTTGGCCAAATACTAAGAAATCCCAATTCCCAAATAGTAGTGGTTAAAAAAAAAAGAAAAGAGATATAGAGTTTACCTCAAACCCACATCCTGGAACCACTTTTCAAGCAGCCCTCTAGGATTGAATCATTGAATTAGCACAACCGTTACTGCTTTCTTCTCTCAAGTACCAACTACCAACCTCAAAATCTCAGAATCATGGGAAATTCAGGCTGGCACTAACAAGACCCAGAAAGGGAAAAAGCAAAAGAAACAAAAGAAACAACAAAACCCAATAACAATACTAACAATAATTAAGTCAGAATAAATAAACTAAAAAGTAGGGGTTATTAAGTGACTCCATTGAAGACGCAGATCCTCATCAAACTCAACAAAAGATTGCAGATTTCGTCTGCTGGGCCACTTTCCCCCCAGACCGTCCTCAAAGAAAGAAAGAAAAAAAGAAACTTTTTTCCCTCTCCTCCTAGTCCTACTAGTCCTAATTGAGATAGAAAGAGAAAGAAAGAACGAATGAAAAGAAAAGATTTTAGCAGCAAGTTGTTTTCTTTCTCAAAACTAGGAAACAGAAATGGAAATGGAAAATAAACGCGCCGGCTTGTGAGGAAGAAACAGGTTTGCTATATTTTGTTGAACATTTTTTCCCCCTAAAAATATGCCTTCACTCCACATTACCTTGTGACCGGATGATTCACTGTTAAAAATCAGTAAAATGACTCCGCTGGTGCGTTTATGTGAGTTTAGTGACCTTTTTCATCACAAAAAATGTTTAATGGCTAAAGAGTTCTATTTTAAATAGTTGAGTGACCATTTCGGCCATTCACTCTTTAACTTTTGGTTTTCACTTTTTTGTGCATGGCATCCTTGCGCTGGCCCATACTAACCTTCTCTATATCTTTTTGTTTTTTTTTACACTATTATATTAACTAATCTTCTCTATATAGTTCCACTATGAACAATGCTGTGTTGCTTTGTCACAGCTTGAAATGCACTATCATTTGTCGATTATCTGTAAAAGAACAAAGAAAAAAGAGAAAAAGGTAATGAAGTTTTTACACATTATTGTCATCAATTATCAGTCTTTTGCTTTTGACGGGTCCTTGAGCAATTTGTCATTTTCTGAATACTAACATGGTTTATCTTTTAGTTTCGAACATAAGCAGTTGAGTTCCTAGCACTCTTGTTTCAGAGTTCTTCAGGAAGAGAAAATGGAGAATCTGATTGCAGTTGCCACAGTAGAAAATATGCTGAAAAGATTAATTTCAAGCACTAATATTGATGCTACTGAGCTTGAGTACTTGGGCTTGGATGAAGAACTAAAGAAACTACGCGTTTCAGTCAGTAGGATTCTGTCATTTTTAGCTGATGCTGATCAGATGGAATGGCTTCTTTGTCAACCATGGCTTATGGAGCTTCAGGACTTGGTAGTTGATGCCGATCACGCAGTTGAAGACTTAAAATACGAGGTCCTGCGAAGGAAGGTTGAGATTCCAGATCAGAAAAAGTCGAAAACGAAGAGTATTATGGTACTCTCACTCTCCTCCTACTTCTTACCTTCGAGTCCCACAGTTTCTCGTCGAAAATGTAAGAAAAAACTCAGAAACATAAATAAGAAGTTTGAAGGTATTATCAAATTTGCCACAGTTGGCGATGAAGTTCGCCGCATTCTAGACAGGACTGTGACTGATTCACCAGAGGTGGGTAGAATAGTCGGAAGAGGAGAAGATGTGGCAAAAATAGCGGGAATCTTGACAATGCAAAGGACAACGCTATGTTCTTCTGCGCTTACCATTGAGGGACCGGCTGGACTTGGAAAGACAACTCTGGCTTTTCATGTCTATAACCATTCAGAAATCAGCACGCCCTTTGACATGAAATGGTGGGTTTCTGCAGCTGGTGAATTTGAAACCAGGGGAATTTATAAACTTATCCTTGAAGAACTGACTAAAAATTCTGTTTCTGTACACGGGGTGCATGAACTGGTGGAAAAACTTCAAAGGATAACAGAGGGAAAAAGATATTTGCTCGTTCTAGACAACCTTTATCTAGATGACAATTTCTACGACTCTTTTGTGCACTATATTTCTCAAATTGAATCAAGAGAAGGAAATTGGTGGCTTATAACTACACGGGACGCAACAGGCTTGAGAAATTATCCAATGAGTCGATGTTTGCCTAATTTCAATTTTCCAAGATGGCATTTCCCGATTATCCAGTTGAGTCCTTTGGACGAGGAGAATTGTTTGGCCATATTCAACGAGCATGCCTTTGGAGGCCCAGGACAAGCTCTGCAACAGCAAGAGATTCAGCCTGAAATTAGAAGGTATCTTCTGGACATTTGCGAAGGTATACCACTGCTAGCAAAACTACTTGGGAGCTTGTTGTGTATGAAGGCAGATCAAAAACAGTGGTTTTCGATGTTGAAGCGACTGACTGATTCTTGTGGAGATATGGCACTAAATTCAAGGTTAGTTTTCTATCAAATGCCATCTTCTTCTCTCAAGAAATGTTTTGCTTACTGTTCAAATTTTCCCAAAGATCATCAAATAGACAAGGAACAACTTGTCCAACTATGGATAGCTGAAGGTTTAAGGGCAAATTTCACTTTACCCCCTGTGGTTTAGCATTTTTTCACATAACCTCCCTATGGTTTTAAAAGCTATACATAACCCCCTTATAGTTTGGATTAAAGTGTCAAAGTAACGGAAATAGTCACTCGTAACGGCGTCACATAAAATGTCAAAAATACCCTTATGTAAAGTTGAAATTTATGTATTAACCAAGGGGGGTAATGTGTGTATTTTGAAAATCATAAGGGAGTTATATGGTAAAGTATTAAACCATAGGGGGTTATATAGTAAAATATAAAAATGATACAGGGTTGATGTGTTATGTATTTATAAGGGTAATTTTGACATTTTTAGAAGTTCCGTTACGAGTGACTATTTCCGTTACTTTGACACTTTAATCCAAACCATAAGGGGGTTATGTATAGCTTTTGAAACCATATGGGGGTTATGTAAAAAAAGGGTAAACCACAGGGGGGTAAAATATAATTTACCCAAGGTTTAATTGAACCAGAGGATGAAAGCGCACTGGACTTGGAGGATAAAGGCTACGAGCTTTTCTACATTTTATTACATAATTGCCTCTTGGAAGCTGCTAAGAAGGACAAATATGGAAATGTAACACATTGTAGGGTGCCTGATGCTCTTTACAGACTTGCAGTGTCACACTCAAGATATGATAGCATTGATTTGGAGAATCCTACAAGAAAAGATACTCTGGTGAGATATCTTAAGGCACAGTCTATCGAGCAAGATAATATTCCTGGGGAATGCAACCTTATAGTGCACTCAATGGACGGAAAAATTCAGAGAGTTGAAGCATCTAGGATGCTATATGTTAGTACATTAATTTTGAAGAGCAACATATCTGATGACTTGCTATTGAACTTCAAATTCTTGCATGTTCTAAATCTGGCTTATGCAGATATTGAGGAATTGCCATTCTCAATTAGAACCTGGTACATTTGAGGTATGTTGACCTGTCCGGGAACAGATTCAAAGTCCTGCATGAATCGATTTGCCTACTCTACAATTTGGAAACCTTGAGGTTACTCGAATGTCCTTCTCTCAAGGTACTCCCTTTGGATATTTCAAATTTGATTAGCTTGAGACATCTTCACTTTTACTATGATGAAGAGTTTCATATGCCACCAAAGATGGGACTGTTGACTTCGCTTAGGACATTATTGTTTTACAATTTGGGTCTAGAAGATGGTCAGGGAATCAAGGAGTTGGGATATCTGAAGAATCTTAGAGGCAAAATTGTGATACGCAAGCTTGAATTTGTAAGTAGTAAAGAAGAAGCAGAGTTTGCAGACTTGTTTGGAAAAATACTTGTTTATGAGTTGGGATACCACTGGAGCGACAACAGAAATGGCATTGGAAATGATCGAATTTTCCTGGAGGGCCTCCAACCCCACCCTGAGTTAAAAAGCTTGACCATAAGAAACTATATGGGTTATGAACTTCCTTGGTGGGTTGTGAACATGCAAGTGAAGCGAAGTTTCCAGCTGGACAACTTGACGGAGCTCAGACTGATAAACTGCAAAAGACTTGAAGCGCTTCCCATGCTCGGGCAAATGCCATTTCTTCAGTATCTTGAGCTTAGTGGACTAGCCAATGTAACCCGCATTGGTCAGTCTTTCTATGGTGCCAATTATTTGGCTCTACTGAACAGAAGAAATGGCCTACCGCAAACCACAATAACAGTATTTCCAGCACTTAAAAGACTGAAACTGGACTGCATGCCCAACCTCATTCAGTGGATGGAAGCACAAGTGAGGCCACCTATTGAAGTATTTCCTTGCCTAGAGAAATTGACCATTCAGTATTGTCCTCGACTGTCAACTATGCCATGCCATTTCCCAGCTGTTAAGGAATTGAAGATTCCTTTTCTTGTCCACAACAGCACGCCGTTAGCAAACATATGTTCCAGTGTGACCACTCTGACTGAACTCTGCTTATATGGCATATTGGAGGTAACTTGCTTACCTAATAGCTTATTTTCTTCCAATCGGAATCTTGAAATTTTGTGCATTTCTAGCTGCCCCAATTTGACTCATGTTGCGCCAAGTTTCCACAATTTTGGCACTTCTCTTCGTCAATTCTCTATTAACGGATGCAACAGGCTGAGTGAATTACCACAAGATCTAAATCACTTGTCTCGTCTTGAATCATTGTCCATAGAAGAATGCCATGATCTCAAATCCTTACCAGATGAGCAACTCAAGTTCCTTGAGTTTCTGAAGATTGCTTATTGTGATGAATTGAGCCATTTGCCCCATCAAATGATCAAATCTGCAATTAACCTAAGGTCCTTGAGGGTTTCTCATTGCCCCAAGTTGTGTTGTTTGCCTTTGCATTTGGATAATAAGAATTCTCTCATCCCTCTGGATATCAAACTGTCCCCAATTTTCTAGTGTTCCAGATGACCTAAGGCTTCTTTCTTCTCTAAAAGAATTGCGTATTGGGTGCTTCTCTGATTTGGTTCAGTTCGAGTCATTTATTAGAGAATGCATTCCTAACCTACAAGAGTTGCATACCATGGGATTATATGGCTTGCCACAATGGACCAAACTTCCTCATGAGCTCCAACACCTCCAAGCCTTAAGGTTACTCTTCTTGAGTGATTTTGGAATAAAAGCTCTGCCCAATTGGCTTGGGAAACTTTCTTCACTTGAAGAATTGGGTCTTTACAGGTGCAAGAAACTCAAGGACATGCCTTCTAATGAAGCCATGAAAAGCCTCACCAAATGGATGCGTCTGTCCATATTTGGCTGTCCATTAGTTTAGAAAAAATGCTTGCAACATTATTGCCCTGGATCTGGATGGTCAAGCAGAAAGTTCGAGCTTTATACAGATGGAGCAGAAATGTGAGTTTCTCTGTTTAACCATGCACTGAATACTTGAGTTTGCTTTTGTTCCGCTTCATCAGATCTAACTCTTTTTGCATTCTAAGAGACATACTTTGGCTTCAGTGTTAAACATTACGCTCCTACAAAACTTCCAAAACGAAAAAGTTCAGTTGGAATTCTATCAGCAAACTTTCTGCATCTGTTGACAAAAGGCCAATTTTATGGTCAGAGTTCTAAATGAAGTGTTAGGACTGACTCAAGAATAAACAAACTAAAATTAGAACAAAATAGGTGGTATAACCGACCATATAATACTTAGGCGGTATAACCGACCATATAATGGTTAGGCGGTAAAACCGACCAAATAAAAGGGTTGTGACAACCCAATAAAGACAAAATAACAAAGCAAATAAAAGACAGAAGATTTACGTGGTTCGGTCAAATTGACCTACGCTCACGGGCGAAAGAGGAGCAATATTTCTACTATGAAGAAGAAATACAAAAACCTTAGGAAAATGGTTCCTAGGCCAAAAGGCACTTATAAAAGGTTTAAAAAATATTTCTAAACACAAAACAAGAGAGCCTAAAATATTTGACTACAAATGGGTTAGATGACTTAAGAAACTAATAGTCCATATAACTCTCTTGAGTGGTGCACTTATCTTCACCACCAAGGCCATATATTTATAGGCCTCGATGAGCTGTCTTCTTTTGGCTTTGTCCGATGTGGGACAAACACCACATCCAACAAATCTCTACCTTGGCATGGTCCCAACATCGACAAATAGTAAAATTGCTCAATCTTCTCCACATAAGTCCCAATGGGCCAAATCACATATAACGAACACCAACCAAGTCCAAGCACTGCTTGAACTTGTAAACTGGAAGAGGTTTCGTAAACATGTCAACTGGATTGTCCTTGGTATTGATTTTCTGAATAAGGACCTTTCCTTCAGCAATGATATCTCGAATGAAGTGATAATTCACATCAATATGTTTCGTCCTCTCATGATACATCTGATCTTTAGTCAAGTGTATGGCACTTTGACTATCACAGTGAATAACAGTAACACATTGATGTAGACTAAACTCGCTAAACAAACTCTTCAACCACAAGGCTTCTTTGATTGTTTCGGTCACAGCCATATATTCTGCTTCTATAGTAGACAAAGTTACGACAGATTGTAGAGTAGCTTTCCAATTGACAGCACAACCGCCAATGCAAAATACATAGCCTGAAAGTGATCTTCTCCTGTCAAGATCCCCAGCGTAGTCTAAGTCTACAAAACTAATCAAAGTGTTATTATTTCTTCCAAACTCCAAACTTGCATTTGAAGCACCTCGCAAGTATTTGAGAATCCACTTCACAGCCTGCCAATGTGATTTACCAGGGCAAGACATATATCTGCTAACAACACTGACTGCATGTGAGATATCTGGACGAGTACAAACCATTGCATACATAACACTGCCGACTGCGTTGGAATAAGGAACCCGTACCATATAATCTTCCTCTTCATCTGATTGTGGTGATTGAGTAGCAGATAGCCGAAAATGGCTAGCAAGAAAAGTAGATACTGGTTTAGCATCTTTCATGCCAAAACGCTCCAAGACTTTCTCAAGATAATTTTTCTGGATCAAGAACAACTTCCTTACTCCTCGATTTCGCTTGACATCCATGCCAAGAATTTTCTTAGCTGCTCCCAAATCTTTCATTTTAAATTCACTATTTAACTGCAGTTTCAAAGTGTGAATTTCTGACAAATTCTTGCCAGCAAAGAGCATGTCATCAACATATAACAATAAGTAAATGAAAGAACCATCATTTAACTTTCGGAAGTAAACACATCTATCATACATGCTCCTTAAATAACCATGACCCAACATAAAGGAATCAAACCTCTTATTGCACTGTCTTGGAGACTGTTTCAATCCATATAAGGATTTCTTTAATAAGTAAATATGATTTTCCTTACCTTCAATTTCAAAACCCTGGGGTTGCTTCATATAAATTTGTTCTTCAAGTTCACCATGCAAGAAAGTTGTCTTAACATCAAGCTGCTCTAACTTCAAATCATACATGGCAACTAAAACAAGTAAAACACGAATAGAGCTATGTTTAACAACAGATGAAAATACATCATTAAAATCAACACCTTGTACCTGACTATAGCCCTTTGCAACTAATCGTGCTTTATACCTTGCATTTTCAACTCCTGGAGTACCTTCTTTTTTTTTGAAAACCCATTTGCAATCAACTATTTTCTTATTTAACGGCGGCTTTATAAGAACTCAAGTTTCATTTTAATGAAGAGATTCAATTTTTTCATTCATCGCAATCAATCACTTTGCAGAATCATCACAAGATACAGCTTCTGAATAGGTGGAAGGCTCACCAATTGCATCAATTTCTTCTGCAACAGACAAAGCATATGCAACTAAATTTGCATATTTTTGTGGTGGTCGAATGTCTCTCCTTTGTCTATCTCTGACTATGAAATACTCCTCTTCTTCTGAACTATCTTCAACAGTAGATTCAGGTGTATCTACTGGCACTTGCTGAATAGAAGATTTGGATTGAGAATAACCAGAACTGCTAATATGAAGCTCCACCTACTTCTTTGTACTATCAGTAGTACAAGGATTAGAAGACTCCTTCTTGGAAGATAACATAGACAATTCATCAAAGTAACATCTCTACTGATTACAAATTTTGGACATTTGGGATCAGGACATCATAATCTGTATCCTTTCACCCCAGAAGCATACTCAAGAAAAATGCACTTTTTAGTCCTAGGTTCCAATTTTCCATCATTCACGTACATGTGTGTTGGACACCCAAAAACTTTTAAATTTGAGTAATCAGTAGGAATACCTGACCAAACTTCCTCAGGAGTTTTGAAATCAAGAGATGCAGAAGGAGAACGGTTGACAATATAACAAGCCATATTGATCGCCTCTGCCCAAAAGTCGTTTGTCAACCCTGCATTGAAGATCATACATCTTACTCTCTCCAAAAGCGTTCTATTCATACGTTCGGCCACACCATTTTGTTGAGACGTCATCCCGACGGTGTGATGCCGAACAATTCCTTCATTTTTACAAAATTTATCAAATTCACCTCCACAAAATTTCATGCCATTATCTATTCTCAATCACTTAATATGTTTTCCTGTTTATTTTTTAATCAAAACTTTCCATTGCTTGAAAGTTAAGAAAACATCATTTTTATACTTAAGAAAATATACACAAACTTTCCTTGAATAATCATCAATGAAAATCAACGTATACCTGGTACCACCTTTAAAAAGAGCACGAGAAGGACCTCATAGATCTGAATGAATGTAATCAAAAGTACCTTTTGTCTTGTGAATTGCTGGTGAACTGAAACTGACTCTTTTCTACTTCCCAAAAATACAATGTTCACAGAATTTCAATGGTCCGGTACTTTGTCCACAAAGAATTTCTCTTTTGCTCAGTATGCCTAAGCCTTTTTTGCTCATGTACCCCAAATGCATATGCCATAATTTGGTGATGTCTGTATCTGACAAAGATGATGTTGAAACAGCAGCAACGCTTGTAACAGTAGATCCCTACAAAATATAAAAAGTACCAGATCTGTGTGCCTTCATAACAACAAGAACTCCTCGAGTGATTTTGAGAACTCCATCTCCACCTGAATACCTGCACCCAATAGACTCAAGAGTGCTCAAAGAGATGAGATTTTTCTTCAAATCTGGAACATGTCTAACATCTGTGAGCGTCCTCACAATATCATCGTACATTTTAATCCTTATTGTGCCTTTGCCAACAACTTTACAAACGGCGTTGTTGCCCATTAAGATAACTCCACCTTCAGTTGATTCATATGTTGAAAACCAGTCCCTATTGGGACACATATGATACGAACAACTCGAATCTAAAATCCACTCATTGTTAGACCTAAAAAATTTTTCCATTGCACAGAAAATGGTTCCATCACTCTCATCAGCTGCTATACTAGATTCAGCGGATTCAGTATTTTTCTCAACAAATTTTTCCTTTTGCTTTTCTTTATTTTTCAATTTAAAACAATCAGAGATAACATGACCCTTCTTTTTATAAATAGTTGCACACCACATTTTTATGTCTGGATTTAGATCTATTTCTATTTTTTGTGTTTCTCTTTTCAAATTTACCCCGAACAAACAAGCCATCAGCTTGACTCCCACTAGTTTCTCCAGTAATATCCCTATCTATCTGCTCTTTAGATTTTAATGCAGATTTAATTTTCCGATACGAAATTGTTTCCTTTTCATAAATCATAGTATCACGGAAATTCTTAAAAGACTGGGGAAAGGAACACAAAAGTAATAGAGTTTGATCTTCATCATCAATTTTCGAATCTATATTCTCCAAATTCATAATAATGGAATCAAATTTATCAAGATGGGAGAGTATAGATGTACCTTTAGACATACAAAGCGTATACAAATTCTGCTTCAAATATAGCTGATTCTCGACTGTCTTCTTCATATACAAGACTTTCAATTTATCCCACATAACCTTGGTCGAAGTCTCCGTTGCTACCTCATGCAATACCTCATCGGAGAAATTTAAGATTATACTGGATCTGGCCTTCTTATCCATATCGACGAAATCCGCATCCTTTACATCTTCTGGTTTGTTCTCGATTCCGTGAATCGCTAGATCAGCTCCTTCTTGAACAAGAATGGCCTCCATCTTGAGCTGCCACATGCCGAAATTGACATTCCTGTCGAATTTCTCGACAACCGTCTTTGTTGTCATCATTGTTGCCACAAAATCTATAACATAAAATTTGTCTCAAAAAAACTGGTCAAACAGATATGCAAGTCTCGTGAGCGGACTCCACAGGGTGAGCGGATCCTACAAGGTGAGCGGGCCCCACAAGGTAAGCGGACCTCATTTGATAAACGGGCCCCACAGGATGAGTGGCCCCATAGGATGGACGGACCCCACCAGATGAACGGGCCCACTAGATGAACGGGCCCCACAGGATGAATAGGCCCCACGAGATGAACCTGTTTTACAAAAATATATCAACCAACTCTGATGCCAGTTTGTTAGGACTAGTTCAGGAATAAACTGGTTCAGGAATAAACAAACTAAAGTTAGAACAAAATAGGCGGTATAACCGATCATATAATATTTAGGCGATATAACCGACCATATAATGATTAGGCGGTAAAACCGACCATATAAAAGGGTTATGGCAACCCAATAAAGACAAAATAACAAAGCAAATAAAAAATACAGAAGATTTATGTGGTTCGGTCAAATTGACCTACGTCCATGGGTGGAGGAGGAGCAATATTTCTATTATGAAAAAAAAAATACAAAAATCGTAGGAAAGTGGTGGTTCATAGGCCAAAAGGCACTTATAAAAGGTTTAGGAAATATTCTTAAACACAAAATAAGAGAGTCTAAAATATTTGACTACAAATGGGCTAGATGACTCAAGAAACTAATAGCCCATATAACTCTCTTGAGTGGTGCACTTATCTTCACCACCAATGCCATATATGTATAGGCCTCAATGAGCCGTCTTCTTCTGGCTTTGTCCGATGTGGGACAAACGCCACATCCAACATGAAGCTTGCATTCTAACTATTAATTAAATTCCATATTATTTGCTATTGTCATTCGTACTTCTAACTGGAATTCCCATATGGGATCTTCTGATTTAACTCTTTGCTTTTCGATTTAAAGTGCTCTATGTCAGAGTTTTCACAAACTGCATTGCAGGTTGGCAACATTTTTTTCACTCAAAACAGACTTGTCACTAGGAGTGGTAGTCTGGTACATGCTGAATTCTTCAAGGTTCGTTTCCTATACATAAACTGATTCACCAATTAGGACTGCTTGAATTATAATTTGGCTTTCTTACTCTCACAGGTTCATAATTTTGGACTTCGAGACTGCAGAAGGACTACTGATTCTTTGTCATATGTTCCGCTTATGCATTTGCAGCTCTACTCTAAGCAATTTCTTCAAACTGTCCATTGCCAGTTTGATTCTTTCTGTTTGATGTGCTGAATGAGTGATTCAAGAGTGTGAATTATTTGATTTATATTATTTGAACTCTTGATTGGTAAGCCCAATGCAGCATAGCTAAAAAGTTTCTCAATCCTATGAAAAGGTTGAGGTTTAAGCACTGAGATTGAGTCACTTATGAAAATATATCATGGAGTTATCTGTAATTCAGGTGTTTGATTGTGTACTCTTGCTTGATTAGCTTTAGCATAAATAGTAGGTTGTTGTATTTGATGAGGTTTGAACTACCTACTTTGTTACTTGTTACCAGGGATATTTCTTACTCAAAATCAATTTCTTCAAGCCTCAACAGAATTCTATGTAATCACCAAGAAAATTATACTTGATGAAAATCTTCAACAAATTCAGTTATACTTGATGAAAATTTTTTAGTTATATGTGAATCCTGAAATATATCAGTCTAATTCAGTTATACTTGATGAAAAATCTTCATTCGAAATCAGAACCTTTGGGTACCATATAGAAGCATATGGGAGGTATAATACATGCACAACAGCATTGCTCAATTAGCACTTGTATGCTCAGTTGGCTGCTGTCAAATGTCAAAGTGCATAAAAAGAGGATTTTATACATACAAGAATTTACAAAATATAAGTTTAATTCAACTCCTTCTGCCGATTCTGTATTCAATTAGAATCTCTTAGCTGAGGAATAATTAATCATTCAAGACAATTTTATATGGAATATGGATACATAAATGTTCATATAAACATAGGCATAAATAGATTTTCAAAGGAAAGATCATGAAAAAGCAAGAAACGACCTAAAGAGTAACCTTTCTATGTAAAGGTAATCTCTCCCTATTATTGAGCACAATGGAGGACAGCTTAGCATTCAAAATGCTACCAAAAGCAGTGATCCATAAAAAGAAAGCCTTTGGGAAAAGAAATACATCAATTCCAAATACAATTATCCAACCACAAGAAAGCTGATTGAGCATTCCACAGAATTCACACTAAATGTTGATCAACTTTTGAGCTGTTGGTCCAAGCTGCGGTGTCAAAAAACCACAGATTAGGGGCAGGAACGGTCATCAAATGGACCATTCCCAAGCTGTCTCCTCACAATCGTAGACGAAAGGACTACAACCAGCCACGTCGAATAGTTTTGGGAAGGGGGAAAAATGACGGCATTTCAATTAGTAATGGGAAAAAGAAAATGAAGCTGCTAACGGATCCCGTCACGAAGCATCAGCTCCAGTCGATAAAATCCCGCGCAAACAAAGCGTCAAACACAAATGCATCGTCAAACACAAAAGTCTTATGCTTTCCCTCCACACTAACTATAGCCAAATTTCAGTCACCCACAACATCAAAAAATGGAAGCAAAAAGAGAAAATAAGAAAGTGGCTGGAGGCAGAACAAGCAAATGGCTACAGGCAAAAAAGTGGCTAGGCTAACTAGGGAAAGGGGAAAGTAGGGAAAAATACATTTGTGACCAAGGAGCGATCCAACATATAGACTTGTCGCGGTTTGAAATCTAGAAGGGGTTGGCAAAAGTGAATCAAAATTGTAAAGTGGAACGTTGGGGCATCTGGAGAAGACAAAAAGCTGGAAACACCCAGGTAACAAAACAGCAATGTTATGACATCACTTTCGAAACCTAACAAGGTGGTGAAGCGATGTGAGTAGTTGTTATTTTTGAACAATGTCATAAATAAATAGGTTAATTGATCTTTAATGATTTTGATGGAACAGAATGTTTATTGGTACTAAATAGTATAAGATATGTAATTTGGTGGCCAACATTGAGGAGGACAAGTGCAGAAAACTTAGTACGCCAAGTGTTTGCAAAATCGTGTGAATGGGATGTGGAATTGGTTGGGTAATAATATAACAGGTGTACTAGTTATTGCTTTGAACTTATTGCAGATTTTGTTGGCTAGCAATGGTTGTGGGTGGATTATAGTTTGTTTGTTTGTGGTTTGTACATCCTATTGATGGTGACATACAAAGTGAAAAAAAAGTGTTACAAAGATAGTTCCGTTAAGTATGTATTAGAGTGTTGTTTAAGAGACATTTGATATGAATAAATAGTGACGCAGAGTAAAATTGTTGAGCGGCGTGAATGCATATAACACTGAGATTGATAGATGCATTGTGGGCAAAAAGGTTACAAGTTGTTTTAACTAGGCATGTTGGACAGTAGGTTGGATAATTGTTCCACGCAGTGATTCAGAGGTTATAGTAGCAGAACTGAGGTGTAAAATTGCATGAACATATTGTGAACTTTCTAGCTATTGTTTGTTAGTTAACTCATATTTGTATAATCACAGGATAACAGGGGTTTTAGTTATTGCTTTGAACTTATTGTAGATTTTGTTGGCTAGCAATGGTTGTGGGCGGATTATAGTTTGTTTGTTTGTGGTTTGTACATCCTATTGATGGTGACATACAAAGCGAAAAAAAGTGTTACAAAGATAGTTCCCTTAAGTATGTATCAGAGTGTTGTATAAGAGACATTTGATATGAATAAATAGTGATGCAGGGTAAAATTGTTAAGCGGCGTGAATGCATATAACACTGAGATTGATAGATGCATGTGGGTAAAAAGGTTACAAGTTGTTTTAACTAGGCATGTTAGACAGCAGGTTGGATAACTGTTACATGCAGTGATTCAGAAGTTACAGTAGCTGTAGACACCAAATTTTGCAGATTATTTGCATTCTAGTTCGTTATTGTTTGTTTCTCATTTTTAGTGGTTATTTTATTTCATTTTTCGCCCTTTAAGTTGACCTATTTCATTTGCTATTTATTCTTATTTACTTTTAGTTTTAGTTTTTAGTTTTAGCTTTTAAGTTTAAAATTAGCATAGAGTTTTTAGAAAAAAGGAAAGGAAAACATCAAAAATATGTTTTAGTCTTTTTGTTTTTATTCAATGCTTTCTCGAAGGAAAAATGAAAATGAAAAATTATAAAAAAGGGAGAAAAGAGAAAATTAAAGAAAAAGAGGAAAAAGAAGAAAAATTAAAAAATAATAATATAGGCTTTAGTTGGATTGGAAAAATGAAAAAAAAAAGAGAAGAGAAAAAAGGAAAATTTGTTCACAAAAATATGTTTATTTCTTTAAATTCAACCTTTGGGCACTTTAGTTATTTTTATTAAGTTATTTTGAGAAAAAAAAATGATGAAAAATGAAAAATTGAAAAATTAATTAAAAATGGCCATTTTTTGTTTAGTTTTTTGTTTAAAATTATTTTTGTTTTGTTATTATTATTATTACCTGGTTTGTGTATTTTTGTTATTATTATTATTTATATTTTATTTTATCATTTCTGTAATTATCAAGTTGTTAAAAAAAAAAAATTATCGCAGCATGCACGCTGCAATTTTTTGCAGCGTGCAAAGGACAATCTCAAGAGCCATCGGATGGCTGGATGGAAAGGGAAGGATAAGCTCTTCATCCTCACCATCCGAGAGAGGGTTTACGGATTGGAGCTCATATAAAAAGGAACAAGAATCAGCAGCCGCAAGGGGAGGGGAGAAAGAGAAAACGGCAAAAAGAGAAAGGAGAGGTTTTAGAAAACGGCAAAAAAAAGGAAAACGGAGCAGAGGACTAAGAAAACAAGAGAGGGAAAGCTGAAGAGGCGGCGGTAGGAAAATACAGGGGAGGCTTTGAAAGAGAAAGGAAGATAGAAAAGGAGAGCAAGAGTGAGGGATCAACGGGGAGGTTTAGAAGGCAACAAAAGAAAGAAAAAGGAGAGAGCTTTGACGGTTGGAGGCTGAGACGAAAGAAACCAGAGAGATAGAGAGGCCGAAGGAGCTTCGGGTGGAGAAAGAGTTCGGGAAAAGCTGCGAAGAAGAAAAGCCAAAGGAGGAAGCAGATTCGGTGCTGTGCTTTGAGAATCAGCAAGGAAGTGCAGCGGTTCTCAAGCCCACGAATTCACCATTATCATCTGCAGAACTTTGTAAGCTATTTTTCTGCCTTCAAATTTCAGTTTTTAAGTATGGACGATTGAGGCTCTCTGTTGTGTTTTTATCGCAGTTTCTTGATGGATTTCTTACGTTTTTTTTTTCTCTGAAAAATTACTGTTTTATTTGAGTGGGTGGAGGCTTCTGGGTTTTCTGATATTCTTAAGACTAACCGTGACTTCCTTGGAGTGGAAAAATTCGTGAAATTCTTCTTTGATGTTTTGCCGTGAGAATGAGTGAGGTTTACTTTGTTTTTCTTGCAAACAATGCACATATTCCTTTTGTTTTGTGGTATAGAAAATGGCTTTTCGTATAGACTGTTCGGCTGGCATTTTAAGTTTGAGAAAACAAGTGAATAAGATGAACTCCTAGCATGGGCTCCATGAATTGTTTGAAAAGCATGTTTTGGTCTCTCTCTATCCTCAGATTTTCTTTGTTGTTTGTCTAAGCATGTGTTCATGGTGAATATGATGAATGTAGGGCTGAACATTTTATGGGTTCTTGATAAGCTGCATTCGCCCTTGTGTTTTGCTGTTTCTTCATGTAACAGCCCTCCAAATGGATTTGTCATTCAACTTGCTATGTGGTCTTGTGATGGAAAGAGGAAGTTGAATCATTGATGTTGTTTTCGTGTGTGGTTGGTCCTAGAGTAGGCTCCATTGTTCTGCTGGAAATCAAGTTCCATTTGAATGAAACAAGAGGCTGCTGCATTTTTTTTTTTGCTGTTCTCCCTTTCCGTGACTATCCACCAAGCTTTAGCCTCTTCTAATTTGTTATTTAGTCTTGTATGGAAAAGGGCAAGGGAAGAGTGTTTTGAGTTTGCATGTTTGAGTCCTTAAAACATTTGAATCATGTTCCAATATTTTGCTGAAAAATGAACAAACCAAATTGCCGAATCATTCTTGTATGTTTTTCCAGAATTGCATATTTCCAATCTGAATTCGGTCTTGATGGATGAGTTTGATGTTTCATTGCTTAAGGCTGAGATTTTGACGTCTATTTGAGATTATATGCTAAAGGAAAGCTCACCAGGAAACTTAGAAAGTTGGTTGTTCTTTCTTCTGCCGCAGCT